TAATAGATTTTTACATTTAAGTTGTTAAAATATTATAAAATTAGTTAAAAGCCGCATTGGGTTTCCTAAGTTTCCTTATGAGATAGCGCGTTGCAAATTGTATCATTTTGACACATCAGAAGATCCGCAGTAATTAAGAAATGTAATTTTATGTTTATAATCGGGCTGTAATTATAAAGTACGGAAGACCAACCAGAATACAATTAAGTTGCGTTATTTGAGTTAAGCATTGTTCTCCACTGTTAAGGCCTTTACTTTTGCGAAACACGTGTGAAGAAGTTAATTTGATTTTTCAATTTCAACTGAGAGGGGTACCTACAAGTATCAGTATCATATGAAATTTATGATACTATTTTTATATTAATCTCAGTTATGACATTTTTCCATAAATGAAATATCAAAATTAATAATAAAATGAATGGAAATACAAATAACACAGTAAAATGTAATAAATGTACATAAAATTATAGTATTTTATGTACACTTTTGGTAAAATTCCATAAGAGAGGTACCTATAAATTAATTAGATACCTTTATGAAATATGAAATTTAATCTCACTCTTAAGAGTCTTATTTTAATTTCTTTATAATATATTTTCCATAAAGCATCGTAAACGTAAAAGCTAAGTACAAAAAAAAAAAAATTAGAGCACTGAAAGTTTTCCTTAATAATAACGAGGTAAATAATTTGTTCACTTAAATGTAAATTATTTCACTTTTCTTCTTCCGTAGAACAAATTGTCCTCACGGAATCCGTCAATATGTCATTCATTACCTGTCAAGTGACGCGAAAGTTTATGACTTGCTTTGTTTTATTTTCAAATTACATCTTTTCGGCGCAGAATTTTAAAGATTTTTAACGAAAATTTCAGACGTGCTAGGAACGATTAAAAAGTGTAAAAAAAAAAAAAAAAAAAAAAATACCCCCAAAATACTTTGATCTTTCCTCTTAATAATAACAAATATTTAGACGATAAAATTTTGTTTTCGTCAAGTTTGGCGTCTTTTTTTTTTTTTAGCGATCTCGTGGAGGTACCTAAATAAATTGAATGGAAAATATATTCAAACCAAAATTCTAATTATAAATCATCACAAGCAAAATATGCAATCTTTTTTTACTGTATTCCATAAGTAAAAATGGGAAATATTACAAAAATGGTACAATGAATAAGATTTGTTAGATCATAATTAATAATAACAAAAAATAGATAAAAGTGTATATAACATAATACTGCTGGGCACAAATTATAAGATAATGTTTTAAATTTGTATTGTTTATTGAAAATCACACTAAAACTACATCACTGTATAACATAGTGCATCATAATATAGCTAAATTGTTCAGTATAAGTTCCCTTTGAAATAAACTAAGGGCTTATTAGAGGAAACAATGATTTAGTAATGTGTTTGTGTTATGCATTTTGCCCATATACAATTTGTAAAGCCTCAGTATATTATAAGGCTTTCACTGATCACCGGAATGAAATTCCAACGCTACGATTGTAAACCTAAACTTAATCTTTAAACTCGTTTCTGCAAAAAACGGTAACTGTCTCGAGAAATGCCGTTATTTTTAATGTCAAGCCCCAACTTTCAAATTGAGTGCAATATCATGCTTTCAAAATCGACTTGCCCTAATGTATCGGTCGTTAACTGAAGTGTTTTTTTTTTTTTTTATTTTTTTTTTTAATCAGACCATATTTCTATAAGTCCGTCTTCGCAGGGTATCAGCATTAGGGACCAAAACCACGAGAGAATTACTCATTTGATAGACGAGGTGATATAAGAAAGTGACAAGGCTAAATTTAATTTTCCAGTGCATCCCTCCTCCTCTTATGCCAGTTAAAAGACCCTCGGAGTGGTTAGAAAGATAATCTGGTTGACCATTAGTGGGTTCGATCCTTACTCGGGGTCCGATACTTGTGGCAGAACTAAGTTACGCTTAATGAATAATGCTATTTATCTGCCTTGTTTAGATTGTGAGAACACCAACTCGTTCTTTCTGCCTCGCTATCAGCATTGCTTTTTTTCTACCAACATTTATATGATTTACATATTAAATTAAGCATAACTATTAACGGAAAACGTTTTTTCGGATTTTGACGTCATTCTTGGGGTTTTTTTTTCCCGTTCAGATCAGCGAATTTTTTGCTCATGCTAAGACTTAAAAAAAAAAGAGAGAAAAAAATACATTGTATTTATTATCAATTTTCTAGTTGAATTGTTCACCTATTGCATATGACCCATTATTATACATAATCAAGTTACAATAATATTTGTATTCTATATATGAATACTACCTTATGAAAATTGAGTATGGCGTGGCATATCATATATTAGGGGAGGGGAGACGAGATCCTTGCACCGGTCCAGTGCAGGAGGGTCACAGAATACGGTACTTCCACTATTATCCGGACGTGAAATGAAGAGAAAAATTGAAATCATCCGAACTAAACTGGCTTTAATAGTTCATCTCAAACAAACGTTTTGAGAACACCATACTCAAAGTTTGGAGAAAAAAAAATAATGACAAAGTCAGATAATTTTTGTTAATTTCCTTTGTGTGTGCATATATTTTTGTGTGTGTTGGGGGGGAGGGCATACAAAGAACATGCATTTAAATTATCATAGCTTAGAAGGTCAGAGATTATATCTACTTTAATCCAGCTTCGGGAGTTAACGACAGAAAAACGCGAAATAAAAATTGACGCATTTTTTTCCCTCCAAAAATAGTCCGGACAAATCCTTGAACAAATTAATTTGATAATTTAAATTTGTTTCAGAAGATGACTTTTTCTTTATTACTTTACGATAATTCAGTTATTTTGCATTATTCGAACATTGTTTTTATTTTTCAACCCATACCCCGAAGTGTCCGGATAATCGAGGAAGTACTGTACTAATGTGTCTTCTTTGTTTGTTAATATTCGATGTAAATATTTCATGTATTTCAAATCACTAGCGATTTTTATTTGTAAAACTATAAACATTCGTCATCTGGTTTTATTAACCTCCCACCACATACACTTGAATTGTTGAATTGTGCACTCGTTAGATTTTTCGTCCAGAAATGTGAAATTTTGTTAACTCGCAGTAAAGATTCCAAATAAATTTGAAGTTAGAGAGAAAGAAAATAAAGAATGTTTAGATATGTGAATCAGTCTAGTTTAAATTAATAACTAGGATTGTTAAATCCAGAATTCCATATACAATTTTCAGTCATGTCTTACATCTTGTATTTAAACACAAAAGTAAGAATTGATTGTGGAGGGGGAGAATTTTAATGATATATATTTTTTAATTTCACATAATTGTACAAGATCTTTACTTGCTCCTTCAACAATAAGATTGTGGAAATCCTAATTGGTTTCCTGCATACAAAGAAATGGCGTTATAGTGTTTAGCTTACTGTACAAAAGCGTAATATAAATGTGATTTTTTTGGTGAAAGTAAAAAGTGTGTCAGTTGAACATTTGAATAGTGACGACCAGTCTTCGTATTACGTCAAACTTTTTTTTTTCCACGAGAAAAATAAATACCCTGAATATCTCGATAAAATCTTTTGCACATACCATTAATTCTTCTTAAAACTCCGCGAACAATTCCAAGACGAGATGTAGAACGAAAAAGTCGTGCATTTCGTTAAAAAATTACCATCATTATAGAAACAGTAAGGGCAAGTCAGCCATGATCTCTTGTCGACGGACTGTATGTTAATTTTGAACGAGATCTCGCGTGATTTTTAATTACCGCAACGGTTATGATGTCCCGAAAAAAAAATTTGACACTCATCGGTCATATTGACGGCAACGGGGACAGAGGAAAAGAGCACATAACCAACCTAACGAAATTGTGTAAATGGTTGGGAAAACTGTTTAGGGGATATAGCTTTACTAAGATCTACAAAGGACAGGAAATTGGGGAGAGCCATGATCGCCTACATCGTGAAGGGACATGGCACAGAATAAATAATATAGCTATTTAATAAATCTGAAATTGCCCCCTGCGGATGAATGGGCAGAAATTGGGTTTTATCAATCTTAAGTGAACTGAGTCGATTTGCCCAGCATAATTAGTATTCAAAATTCTAGTTAGGACATTGGCCACGAAACAGACCCTATTTATTGATATAGGTCTCTATACATTCATTTGTGACAACAGCAAAAACTGGGAAGTTTTTTTAAGGGCATTTATTCGAACGGAATGCAGCACAACGCCAGGTTTAAACTGGGGATACCACGCATATGTCAAGAGAAAGACCAATGCATTTGCTCATTGGTCCCCTTTTATTTCTGTCCCCCATTTTTTTTTCCTTTAGTTTAACTCCCCGTCCCCTCCCTCGTTTAGGTGGTCAGTGATGTCAGTTCTCTGGTGGATGCGGGGCGCCTTTCGTTTCGTGCGTGTGCTTTCGTATTTGTTGTTGTGTATGGATGAGTGAGTGCTTGTGTGAGTGCTTGACGGTTTGAATGTGTCCTTATTTTCATAGTCCCGCATCGATTTCGTCCGGTTAACTGATATTTCTGCCACATTCAAAGTTTGTGGGAGGGGGGTTTAATACTAACACTAATTTTGTTTAGTTTCTTGTAAATATATTTCGACATATTGTATATACTCATTGGGGATTTTTAAAAAAATTGTTGTTTTTATGCCCCCCTCCCCCACAGACAATATTTGTACATAAGGGGTGTATTTAGGATTTTCATTGAGTCAAAGAGGCATTTTGGTGGATGTAGTAAGAAAGGTATGGATAAATGTGTTGTTTTGGTGATAGGAATATTGTTTAGTATGATAGGGTCAGTGGTTGTGGCTAGCTAAGTTTTATTTTAAGACAAGTGATGACCGTCCTTTCCCCCCAGCTCCCTTTCCGGCCTTGTGCCACATTTGTACATAGTACAATAAATAATGAGAAAGACCAATGCAAATTATTATCATGTTTTGTTTGTGGTTCATGATATTGTGACGCTTGAAGTTTAACTTGAATATTCAGACAAGAACTAATTTTAAGATCCTGCTCGAACTGCAGTCAGGTGAAAAAGTTCCGGTGCTATTACACTTTCGCATCCCTTCCCCACTCCAGTAGTCAGTATGGACTGCATTGCTTGCAACGGCCGGAAGACAATAAGCTTACGGAAGAAGCCGAGGACCGGCTGTGGAAACACTAAGAAAGGATTTAGAAATTTCCAGCCCAAACACTGTGGTTGACTGGAATCAGTTTTGCCGTGATGTGTGCGTTGAGTATTTCATCAACCACCATCAGAATGATAAAGGAAAAAAGTTTAAAAATGCGTGTTTGATGTACTGAACAGGAAAAAATAATCAGAGAAATAAAATAGTCGCAAGAAAAACATGGCGGATGTGGGTGTGTGTGAAAGTGTAATAGCGCCAAAGTTCCTTTACGCTTCATCGTGGTCTAATAGCCAAGAAACTGAACTTGTAAATCATAAGTCGTAAGTTCGATCCTTGCTTGGATTCCCCGCCTTGTAACCATTTGCCAAAACTAAACTGCATAATTGTGTGCTGGCATTAGTTGTGACCTAAGTAAACTTGAAAACATTTTTCTGGGTATTCGCCAGTATTCCCTCTTAAAAAATGTCGTTTCAAACAATGACGAACAATAATCGATATTAATTATTTACCTGTTAAGATACTCATTAGAAATTAATAAAAAAAAACTTGATTAAATTTAAACGGTATATTAAAAACTTTAATATATATATATATATATATATATATATATATATATTTAAACTATACATTAACACACAGCATGTTGATATTTATAAGTAAACGAAAACTTGAAAACATTTTCCCAGGTATACCCCAATATATATTCTCTCTTAAAAATGTATTTTCCAGACAGTCACGAACGATAATCAATTATTTACCTGTTTTAATTTTTTCGGTTGTAGTTGAAGTTTAATGGCGTTGTTTTGATGAAACTTTGTGTTTATACTTTCGTCGATAAGAAAAATGACACCAATGACGACGTATAAAAGCTGGAAAGAAAAACTCTGGAATATCTTGAGCAATTTATTATTGAGTCTCATAATCTTTTTTTTGTTTTTCCATTTTTTAGTAGTCATATTTGGTGGTGGGCAGATCTTGATCTCGCTTTGTGGTATTTCTGTAAAGTATAACAGGACATATAATTAAGTTTATTTTTAATCTGTTTTTTAGTTAAAATATAACAAAATTCTACCCAGAATTCCAGAAATATATTAATAAATAATTTAAACAGTACCGGTTAATACAACTGTTATGATTCATGATGATGATATTTCATCAATCTAGAAATAAAGATTTGAAACTTCATTATAAAAACGACCTTTCCCCCACAAGCAAGAGTAGAAAGAACACAGACAACGCGTATCTGAGTTGACAGTTTCAAAGGCTTCCTATAACCACGAAATTCTTGAAACAATTACAAACAAGTCCAAAATTTTAAAGAAATAATAACCCTGAGGACATTTAACACACACAGAACCGATATTGTAAATAACATCAATCAGTTATGTGCCATGTGTGATACACACTTAGGCGATCATGTATCTTTCGATACATGACTGACAAGGCCGATGTTTTTCCCCGCAGTGGGTTGCCATTTCTTTCTGCGGTAGACCAGTTGCCATCCAAAGCTATAGAACCCAGTTTGTCCTACTATTTACCCATAGATGGGGAAAAAGAAGAGGATTCATACATTTCCCAAGGGTATTAGCACATGAATGTAATGGATTCGACTGGAATTCGAACTCTGCTCTCCGATTTCTTAATCCGAATCACTATCCATTACTCCACCGTGCCTCCAGTCAGTTATGTACCATGCGTGATATACGCTTAGGCGATCATGTATCGTTTTGACGAGGCAGATTTTTTTCCCGCAATAGGTTGCCATTTCTTTCTACGGCAGACCAGTTGGGGTGAGAAGAAGAGGACTGATACCTTTTCCAATGTAATGGAATCGACTGGAATGCTAACTCGGCTCTCCGATTCCTCAATTCGAGCCGCTATCCATTACTCCATCGTGCTTCACGAAAAGAAAAATGTAAAGAACATCACGAAAAGAAAAATGTATATTCTTGTTATTAATTTCAACATGTTTCTTATTGTTGTACGTTTTATCCATTTCATTTTCAGTATAAAAAAAGAGAAAAAGAATCCTCTATCAGCTACTGTGCTAAATGATTTTAAAGCGTAGCTTAGAAGAGGCACAAGACTGAAAGTATGGAGCTCCCAGTGAGGATCGAACGTACTACTCAGTACTAATCATTCATAAATGTTCTAGTGTGACAAGATTGCTAACCATTTTTTGTATTTACTCAGCCCCCTACGAGGTCAGGTTGTGGCACAAGGTCGGTTTAATGTGGGGATCCCGTGCGCGTACACCCGGACTAGGAACAAAAATTGCCCGAGCCCCCGCAACCGTCGGTTGCGCTGGCCTCTATGCGTAAACCGATCCCTTCTCTAGCCCAATGGGAGGGCGCGGCTTCGGGCAGCTGTTCCCCAGGGTTGGCACCTCTCAGTATAATTTTCCTCAGTTGCGACTCTGTTCTTTGACGGAGCCGCACCTGAGCGCACTCTGCCCAAAGACAGAGATGCAACTGAGAGATGATAAATAAGCGTGTTACAAATTACTTTATAGTAATTTAATATTAATGGGACAGTAAATGGATATAAACGGAGTGAAGAGACATGCCATTTATTCTCTCTAGCCAAAGAAGCATCCCAAAAGCTAAGCAGTGCATTAAGAAATAGAGAAAATTCGCTAGAAACAAGGAAAAGTGTTCTAAACTGCTACGTGATATCTGACCTCCTGTATGGCAGTGAGTACTTGACGATCTCCTCAAATATGAAGAGAAAACTTGAAGCAACAGAAATGTGGTTCTACAGAAGGATGCTGAGGATACCGTTGAATGAACATGTGAGCAACGACGAAGTTTTGGAGAAAATGGAAACAAAAAGGAAACTAATACTTATCACCAGGAAAAAACAGTTTAGGTTTGTGGAGCACATAATGAGGAAGGAGGGCTTCGAAAATTTGATACTCACGGGACAGACAAAAGGCAAGAGGGACAAAAGAAAACAACGCGTAGCATACTTAGGGAGCTTGAGTACATGGATGGCGGAACAAGGCTTCGGAGAAATAACAGAAAGACAAAGTTTATTAAGAGCTACAAGGGACAGGAAATTGTGGAGAACTATGATCACCAACCCCCTGAAATGACACAGTACATAAAGAAGAAAGTGTCTCTCAATCAACTTGTCATTTTATGCAAGAAAACGAAGCCCATCCCGTTAAATTGGTAAATGAGTCATTTTTTTTTAAGCGCAACTTCCTGACTTAAATCCCATGGAAGATAAAATGAGACGAGGTTAAGGAACGAAACTTAAATTAATTTAACCTATTTATGGAAAAGCAAAAAGCTGGAAGATGAATAGAAATGATAACACCAGATATGTGTATGGAAATTATTCATAATAAACATAAAATTTATAGAAATTATAGCGCTTGGTATATGCTTCATAAAAACACTGTCAAAAGTGGTTATTGAATAAAGATTTTTGAAGAGAAAACTATATTAAAAACCAACAAATTGGACAAAGAGTTTTGACTACTTTGTTGGTTTTTAATATAGTTTTCTCTTTAAATTTAGCGCTATTACACTTTCACACACACCCACATCCGCCATGTTTTTCTTGCGACTATTTTATTTCTCTGATTATTTTTTCCTGTTCAGTACATCAAACACGCATCAGGCAAGTTGACACACTGGCCAGTCCATCACTGGTGACAGGAATGGGATTCTACAGACGGATGCTGATAATATCGTGGACAGAACATGTGAGTAAAAAAGAAGTTCTAAAAAAAAAAATAAATGGGAGCGAGAATGCAGTCGATCATGTGCCATGCGTGATACACATTACTCATAAACAATGTCCATACAGGCAATACCATTTTTTCCAAATTAAACATTTTACATACTTTCAATTTTTGTTTTATAAACTTCATCATAAAAATGATATTGCATACACTTTCTTCTTTGTCCAATTTGTTGGTTTTTAATATAGTTTTCTCTTCAAAAATCTTTATTCAATAACCACTTTTGACAGAGTGTTTTTATGAAGCATGTACCAAGCGCTATAATTTCTATAAATTTTATGTTTATTTGACAAATGCTGGCCACAGACGAAGAGGCTTGAAACAACATAAAGCTGATTCTACAGAAGGATGCTGAGAATACCATGGACCGTACATGTGGACAACGTTTTAGAGAAAATGGAAGCAAAAAAGACACTTATGCTTAACACCAGAAAAAGAGAGTTAACATTTCTAGGGAACATAATGAGGAAAGAAGGCTTGAAAAATGTGATACTCTCAGGACTGACTACAGGCAAGAGAGACAGAGGAAAGCAACGCATAACCTACCGAGCGAGCTTCAGTGAATGGATGGCGAAGCAAGATTTAAGATAACAAAAAAAAAAAAAATGGTTTAGGTTAACAAAAAAGACAACATTTAGAACTACAATAAACAGGAAATTGTGGAGTGTACTGATCGCTAACGTCCTCACGGGACACGGCACATAGAAGAAGAGGAATTGTATAAATCAACCTCTTATATTGGCTGGACTATGTATTTACTAAGTTTACTAAATATTTGCACAATATCACAAAAAGAACGAACTCATTATTTGAGAGGGTAGATGGCTATCTTAGTTTGGCACAGGGCTACAAATTTTGGAGTCAAAGAAACCGCCTATTCCATAGCAAAACACTCAATTTTTTCATAGCATGTTCACCATAGGCCATGTGGCTAAATTTTCACTAGCACTTTTACCAATCTTCACACAAAAACTTGATGTTAATCCATCCAGATTCCTTTCACTTATTTTATACCATCAGCATATGATCACATACAACTTCCTTTACTGCTCGGCAACGAATAACTCATCTGTTCTGCGTTTCAAGAAAGTGAGACTTGGAACATGTCCGGACGTATTCCGATACAAATATTTGCCTGACTCCAGTCTTATGTTGTAGTTAAATTCAAAACTTATATAAGGAAAAATAGAAAGTAAAATTAAAATATTCTCCTCAAGATAACGAAACATATCTTCAAGCGATGTAGAGTTTGTTGTATCAACTTTTTATTTAGGCGCTGCATTTTGGGCCTACATGACGTTCCCTACGAAACCACCATTTTTTCTTACCAAACCTATTGATTTCATGAACTGGAAAAGAAAAAAGAACTACTATTACTACTACTACTACAACTACTACTAATAATGATACTACGACTAATAATAAGAATAGTTATAATAATATCATCATCATCGTAAATTAAAATTTTAATTTTGAATTTTATAAAAAAACGTCAGGCTAAGATTCGAACTTTTAATCGCATGTATGAAATAGGCAAGGAGGGCGTAACGCACGCACTAAGGAACAAATAGAGTAATATATATATATATATATATATATATATATATATATATATATATATGTGTGTGTGTGTGTGTGTGTGTGTGTGTGTGTGTGTTACCTTTCATTTCTTCGGAAAAGTATTGTTTGAAATCCGTGTAATTTTTTCGTGGACTTCGCAAAATGCATGACATCAGCATGGCCAACATTGTAATCTGAAACAGAATCTCAGTGTTATTTCATCACCGAAGAGCCATGAAAAGTACAAAAGCAATGGTGAATATTGAACAATAGAAAACACCAAATAATAAAATAGTTCACTCATGTGACTTGTTAATTATGGTCGGAAAATAAATTTATTATTCGAAAGTTTCTTTCTTGAGTCAATGAAAAAGTAACTCGCAGTGACAAGCAATGGCGGACTTGGTCTAAAAATATTGGTTGACAGGAGACAAATAGAGCCCACCCACAAGTCCAAAACTATAATTTAATTTTCATAAATAAAATTTAAAAAATACACATGGAAAAAAGTACAATTAAATTTTTTGTGTAAAAATTTGTGGATTACTTAGTAATTCCTCTGTACATGTAGTGTACATATGAATGACAGCAGATACCAAATTTAAATACAGAATGTTATAACTGAATTATTATTTTATTTAATTATAATTGGTTGATATTTTTTAAATAGTTTACTTCAAAATTTACACATAAACTGGTAGTTCAAAAACACAATAGAGCATTGAATGCAGTCCACTATATTAAAAGCAATCGTCTGTGTTCACTAGATGATTGTGTGTATCTGCCATTAATTGCTTCTGCATACAATTCATCTAACAATTCCTTTTCAATGCATAGCAATATGTATGATTCCAAATTCTCCTCAAACAATGAATTTCTTAACCTTGTCTTTATGATCTTTAGCTCTGAAAATGTCCTTTCACATTGAACTTCACAGATGACTTTATAAAGTTTCCTATTCCTTTTTATTACTAAAAACAGTTATCTGTGTTTGTTTATTGTATTTTCATTTGATATAGGTGCCCCACACTGTTAGGGATCCGCTTGCCATCAGGCAAGTTGACACACTGGCCAGTCCATCACTGGTGACAGGAATGGGATTCTACAGACGGATGCTGATAATATCGTAGACAGAACATGTGAGTAAAAAAGAAGTTCTAAAAAAAAATAAAATAAAATAAATGGGAGCGAGAAGGCAGTCGATCATGTGCCATGCGTTATACACGCTTAGGTGATCATATATCTTTCGATACATAACTGACGAGGCAGATTTTTTCCCGCAGTAGATTGCCATTTCTTTCTGCAGTTGCCATACAAAGCTATAGAACCCGGTCAGTCCTGCTATTTACTCATAGCTGGGGTGGTGGTGGAGAAGAAGAGGATCCATACCTTTCCCAAGAGTATTAGTACGTAACTGAATGTAATGGATTCGACTGGAATTCGAACTCGGCTCTGCTGATTCCTCAATCCGAGCCGCTATCCATTACTCCACCGTAAAATCAGAAAGACACAATTGAAATTTCTAGGACATTAAAAAGAAAGTGTGCATGGCAAATTTAACACCCACAGGAAATATTGGAGAAGGAAACAGCGAGTAACTTATCTAATTTTTTGAGGTGAATCAATCACAGAGCAGGTGGAAAGAGGTGTTAAATGTTATCGATAGCAACAAGAGACAGGAAAGTGGTGAAGAGCCTTAACCGCCTACGTTCTAAAGAAACACGCCATATAAAAGAAGGAAATATGTTAACCTCTTATAAAACCGTATTAAATAAATTTTCAGATGTGCGTTGTTCAGAATGTGTTATTTTTTACCCTATTGTTTATCTAAAACAAGACCCAAGTGTCACTCAATGTAGAGGGTTACTGAATGGGGTTGTTTTATGGCCGTAAGAATCGTAAATTATGAGGATAGATAAACGGTTGACTCTGGACGAAGATGTTAAGATTGTAGTGGTCGGGGAATACCCCTCTCATGAGTTTGTTCCACAAAATAGCTGTCATCTGAATACCGAACACAAGTCCTTTTAAATTAAAAACAAAATTAAACAGAGCCGTATTAACGACTTGTATCTTATTGATGCTTCGTCAAGCTGAACATATATTGACGCCAATAGAGTATCCTCGATGTAATGTGCGGATTAATGTTTGTAACTAAAGACATTGAAAAATATATTTTAATCATTTCACTTCAAACAAGGCAACAAAGCCACTAAGACGCAAAACCATTATTAAAAAGAGAGGACACTAAAAGAACAGAATTGACAAGACAGGACACGACGATTGACATTGCATTTACATTTTTGAAGATCAAAGTTGATGGAAAAGCCTTCCTCTATGGTAAATATTCATTGGGGTTTCATTTTTAAATGTTATTTTTGTCCCTCCCGCCCCAAAGACAAGCTGTATATATGGGAACTAGTTAGCATTATATAGATATGGTGGCTGTAGTAAGAATGGTAAGTAAGAATATGTTGTTTTGGCGTAAGGAATACTGTGGTATGTTTGGGTCAGTAATCGAGGCTAAGTTAAGACAGACTGAAGATCAGCCTTCCCCTAACCACCCTTTTTGACCGTGTGTCACATTTTTGTATTATATCAAAATAAATGTTACTTTCCTCTATGGTACCTAGACTTCATTAATTTAAGCGCAGTACTAGATTGGCGGTAAGGTCTCATTATTTTACAGTTGAAATGTTGTGATGAAACCGTAACTTCCATGCTACCAGTTTCTTGTATCACAACTTTTCGCTTGTGGAAATCTCTTGCGGCTTCTTGCTTAATTTTGATCTTCAAAAATGTAAATACAATGTCAATCGTTACCTACTGTTTTCTTCTTAATTCTTGTTCTCTCTTCTTAATAGTGTTTTCTTCCTCATATTCTTTAACATTCCTTAATCCCTGGCGTCTTAGTGTCTTATTTGCCTTGCTTAGGATGAAATGATCAAAAACAAGTTAATCACATTACTTACTTTGAGTGGTTGTATAAATATAATCGACCCTGTCATGCTGAAGGTGATGGAGAGTAACCATCTCAACGCTAGTTCCTTTCCCCACACGATGGAATACATGAACGTGAAGTAGGCAGAAACACTGATACTGAGAAAAATAAGAAGATAAGCCAAGGACATTGACCACCAAGGCAGACGAAAACGTTTCAGTCGCTCAGCGAGAGTCAGTGAGCTTCCACAGCTATCTGACTCTTCACTATTAACCTTACGCCATTTAAACAAATTGATGATGATTGATGTTGGTAAGACCATAATGACGGAACTAATTAGTCCGACAACAATCTCTTTGGAAGTAAGAGTGAAGGGTCCCAAGGTGAGAGCTCTTGACGGGATCTTGTCGGTGGGTTTGTAGTACATGGCGCTACTGACAAGAGACAGGTACAAGACAGCGACGATAGTTGATAACCTTTGAACTCGAGTGAAGGGACTTGAACACGGGCGCTTCACGACCGAAACATAAAGGTGGTCATCAAACAAATCGGTGAAGATCCGCGATTTTAGATTATCGAATAAATTGTCGCATTGATTTGAATTGGGCTCTAATTGTCGAATGATGGATCCGTCGCCTTTATCGAAAGAGAACCAGTCGTGACACGGGAACGAATACCTGTAAGAAGTAAACATTAAAAAAAAGACTGTGAAAAAATTTCAGCAAAATCAATATGATTTTATATTTTTTTGTCGTATTGGAGGAACGACTTACTTACAGTAGCATCTATTTGCCCGCCCACATGTCAAAATCCGATACGAGATTTTTTTTTATGTGAGGTCCTAATACTTTCGGATGAGAAGTGTTTCCAGATATTGCCTAGTTCCATCGACGGTCATCGCAGAAGTGTTTCCAGATGTTGCCTAGTTCCATCGACGGTCATCGCAGAAGTGTTTCCAGATATTGCCTAGTTCCATCGACGGTCATCGCCCAAATGTTTCCAGATGTTGCCTAGTTCCACCGACGGTCATCGCAGAAGTGTTTCCAGATGTTGCCTAGTTCCATCGACGGTCATCGCAGAAGTGTTTCCAGATGTTGCCTAGTTCCATCGACAGTCATCGCAGAAGTGTTTCCAGATGTTGCCTAGTTCCATCGACAGTCATCGCAGAAGTGTTTCCAGATACTGCTTAGTTCCATCGACGGTCATCGCAGGAATTCGAGGTTTCAACTGACTAACTCTTTAATGCCATGAAAGTACAGCATGAGAGACAGGTTTTTAGAGAGGCGAATATATTTATTATTAAAGATTTCCAATCACAAACAGTCACCCCGCCAACTATGCTAAAACAGTATAATAATTATTAAAATGATCAGAATAAAAATCAGTTTTCAAGCTTTGGTTTCTATTAGAAAATAAAATGCCAGCTAAAATAAAAAAAAAGAAAGTGCAATTTATATATAAACTTCTCTTACTTCTGTTAGTCCGTCCGTCGGTTACACCCTCTACAATAATCATACCTTGTCCGATCGAAACCATATTTTGGACAGAAGTGAAAACAGGTAAGGGGGCACAAAGTGCTGTTGGTTTTACTAGGTTGCGTAGCTTAGTACAACTAATTTTCATTAATTTTGTGGAAAAATTAAAAGTTTTATTATTTAACGTACAGAATGCTCACACTATATTAAAGATAATTTAATGAGTGAAATAACAAATATTAATTTAATAAAAATATAACATTGTTTTTTTCTTATCTTTTCTTTAAATTTTTATATATACAAGAATCCAGTTTTCAATTCGCAAATCACAAAGCCAAACGCTTCAAAAATTTGGAATTTGGCTTTATAAAGAAATATTTATGCATGGCCAGTTGTATGTTGTATGCTCAAGAGCAAGAAATCCTAAGAATTTATTCTTCGCTGTTAAAAAGGAGGGAAAGAAATTTTCTTAAAAAAATATTCTTTACCATGAAGTCTTATGAAATTAAAATAAAATTACAGAAATTATTAAAGCGCGAGGTAGTTTATTCAAATTTTATCGATTGATTAGTGAAATTGAACGAAACGCAGTTTGTAAATCTCGACATTTTTAGAAAATGTTAGCGATAACTTCAACAATACTAAATACTGTGAGGATTTCAACATGCGTTAGTGTGTTGCCAAAAAATTCTAGTTATCGTAAATGCATTGAATTTAAGGCTTTATATGAAAAAAGGACTTAAGCATTTGATGATTCTACAGAAATTAGTTTGTATGGAATTAATTTATTTAGAAAAAACTAACAGGATTTTGCGGAGAGAGAAGTAGAGAGAACAACAAATCTCTTGCCTTGGGTATTATGAAATGTGAAAACAAAAACAAGACTTAAACCGGTATGAAATTTGAAGGAAAGTTACTGCAATATAATTTTTATAAAGCACAGGCTAGTTAATAGCCAGGTGCTGTGGGAACATATGAATTACTTCGAAGAAATATTCTAACTAAATATAACAGCAACTGTCTATATTTCTGAGATGAGATATTTTAACTATTTACATTGTTCGTACTGTTGCCATATTCACGATGTTTCGGCCTACTTCAGGTAATATTTGTTGGAATTTTTTTACCCTTGTGGACTAAATAAAGGGCTTGGTTCGAAATTCCAACAAATATCACCTGAACAAGACAGAAACGAACAACGGCCGAAACGTCGTGAATATGGCAATGAATATAAGGACAACATTCCATACAATGTATTGTGCAAACCAGTTTATTCTGTTCATCTTATTCTTGGATCGAATAGCATGCTTCCTGGAGTTGCATATGAATTATAATGAATTATAAAGGCCTTTTATCAGCATAAAAAGCTTCCGGTTAGGTCAGTTATCAGTATAAAAGGCTTCCGTATTAGATAGTAGTGCCAGTCTATCAAAGCTTCCACAATAACTACCGCTTCTTTCTCTACAGGGGAATCATGCTTTTCCGATGTATTTCATGTTCGAAACACAAATACCACAAGGCGCCCGTCTTGGTTTGAAGTAGCCGCTATACATTGGTTGCTTGCATCAGTCTCTGTCTGAAAAGGTTTATCCTCATCGATAGTACCGACCACAACATCTACCAGACTTTTCTTTAACTCCTGGAAAACTTTTTTTGTTTCCTCTTCCAGAGGAAATAGCGTATTTAGGTTTAGCTTTCGTATTTTGTCGAAGTACTTTCGAATCCATTTGTTATAATATGCAAAGTATCCCAAGATCTTTTCAAGGACCAAAAGGGATGTAAGTCCTCGAAGCTCTTTTTGTGGTCATACTCTTTCCAGATCTGGTCGGATCTCATCATTTTTTACTTTATAACCTAGTAGTCGTACTTCTTCAACTGCTAATACAGATTTTTCCTCATTGAAAGTGAACCTTTACTTGTTCGCTACCTCTCTTAGACTTTTATGGTTCTGATCATGTTCCTCTTTAGTTCTGCCATAGACGGTAAAGTTATCGATGTAAATAAACACGCCTTTTAAACCCTCCACGACCTCGCACATTGTCTTCCGGAATCAAACAACTCTATTAGTGATCCCGAAGGGCAACCGCTTAAATTAGTGGAGTTGGCCCTTTGCCTTAAATGCTATAAAGGGCTTATCTTCCTCTTTAAGCGAGACTTGGTTATAGACACATTTTAGGTCCAAAGCGCTATAGACAGCATATTTCGATATAGCCCGAATTATATATTCTATTCTGGATAGTGGGTACGCATCCTGGTCGGGGAAACAGTTCACAGTTTGCGAATAATCAAAGACTAATCGCCTCTTGTGTTTTTAGACTTTTGCGACTAGTGTCTGAACCTTCAATGTTGACCAACTCAGTTCGATAATACCATTCTTCAGCAATCTAGCGACTTCTTCTTCCTTGAGTAGCACCTAGATTTTACTGCTTTTATTGCTATTGGCTTCCATCCTAGTGTAAAGTTGTCAAACAGTGGAGGAGGTTTTACTTTTAGCGCCGTTAACCCACATATTTTCAAAGATGGTCGTTTCCATTGATATTCGAATTCTACCCTGGAATGCAGCCTCTGAAAATCTCTACCGAATATAACGTCAGCATGGCTGCCGTTTCGTGAGTCATATTCATTCCACGAGTGAAAGTGCATGTTAGGGCATTTTTCTGCTAACTCCTGACAACGAGCTTGCTTTAAAGCTTCGCTGAAGGTGGCTTTCCCGTTCTTCCGAATTCTTTGTCAATTTATAGAGCTAATTAGACTGGCTATGAAGGCGTCTCGAATGGCTCGTCCTTTATGCTCAGTCACAGTAACCTGTTAGGAATTTCTGTCCTTAGCGATACTCTGTAGGTTCTGTACAAATTGGTCCAGTATTTCCCCAGTTTGTTGTTTTCTGATGGCTAGTGTGTATCTCGCACAGATCACGCTCTTTTCTTGGGTGTACGCTTTGTTTAGTAAGTTCATAACAATCGTGGAAGTTTAGGTCGCACTTATAAACTTGTAAATGTCCGGTGACACGAAGTTCTCTAGCAGTTCTAATTTATCTGCTTTGGTTACCAGTTCAAGTGACCGCTTCAGACAATTTTCAAAGCTATTTTCCCAGTGTTTCCAGGCTTTCTCGGAACCTGACGAATTTTGGTCAACGTCAAACACACAAGGTCTCAGTAGCTTCTCCGTATGGAATTCGTACACAATTGCATTATATTTAATTAGAATGTAATTTTTTATAAGAGACGTACTAGTTCATAGCCAAGGGCTCTGGGAACGTATGAATTAGCTCAAATATACTAACTAAATATAAGAGATCTACGTTGTTATGCAGAGAGCAGTTGTTTTTTTCTGTGTGGCTTTTGTTTCTCTCCACTTACTGAGAGTTCCATCCAAGGGAGGTAATCTAGCAACTAAATACTCTACTACACGGGATTACTACTACAGTTACATTTATTAAATGACATGAAAAAATAATAGCATCGAATATAATTTTTACAAAAAACAAACTTGCATAAATTTTCCTTTGTGCCATGCGTAATAAACAAACCTAGCCTACTCTTTTTTTTCAATTACCCTTTCATTATTTTTATAGAATTTTACATTTCCTTTTTATCATAGAAATTATATAAAACTACTGGTTGTAGTGTGTCGGAGTTAGCTCCTCCTCAGCTCCTTAACCCTTCACCAGGGTTCTCTCTCCCCCTGGCTATAAATACTGGTTGACCCTTCGCCTCGATCTCTTTTTTCCTCAGGCCTTCAGCCTTATACCACCTCGCAGATGTGAGCTCTCACAGATACAGCGTTTCCCAAATTCTGGGAATACGCTAAGAACAATACACGTACGTACGAACACTCACCACAACACACACATAATATTCACCAAACGCACTCAATGTAAGTGTCCATGTGCTTGTAACTTGTACTAGTTATCAATACCTATATTTGTTTACATATATTTATAGGTCATGTTTGTTTTTCTTTGGACTTAATGTCCAATATTCTCATGTGGTTGGACCGGTTAGCAGGAAATTTTAACTCACGTGTATTCTTCTACATACTCTCATCACCGCCACGGTCCGCTACAAGTGTAACTATATTCACAAAAATACTTTACACGAACAAGCTAAACAAATCGGAAATGTTCAATGGGAGAAATTCATTTCTGTTGGATTGTAATTGTCATGCGATTTTTTAAAAGAAATTGATTGACAACGAGGGGT